ATACCTTTTGGTGCTTTTTGGGGATTCTGACGTTCTAAGCTGTAGGAAACATAGACATAATTTCGTACCATTTGGCTTTTCCCTCCCATATGATTTGCCAATCTTGGCGGTCTTTACTTCTGGAACACTATACTTTTTGGTGCTTTTTGGGGGTTCTGACGTTCTAAGTGTTGGATTCAGCAGCTAATTCCGTATAGGAAACATAGACATAATTTCGTGCCATTTAGCTTTTCCCTCCTATATGATTTGCAAACATTGGCGATCTTTTATCTCTGGAACACTATGCCTTTTGGATTCTTTTGGTGCTTTTTGGAGGTTCTGACGTTCTAAGTGTTGGATTCAGCAGCTAATTCCGTAGGAAACATAGACATAATTTCGTACCATTTGGCTTTTCCATTCCATATGATTTGCAAATATTGGCGATCTTTTATCTCTGGAACGCTATATGTTTTGGTGCTTTTTGGTAGTTCTGACGTTCTAAGTGTTGGATTCAGAAGCTAATTCCGTAGGAAACATAGATCGACATAATTTCGTAGCATTTGGCTTTTCCCTTCCATATGTTTTGCAAATATTGGCGTTCTTTATCTCTGGGACACTATGCCTTTTGGTGCTTTTTGGGGGTTCTGACGTTCTAAGTGTTGGATTCGGCAGCTAATGCCGTAGGAAACATAGACATAATTTCGTACCATTTGGCTTTTCCCTCCCATATGATTTGCAAACATTGGCGATCTTTTATCTCTGGAACACTATACCTTTTGGTGCTTTTTGGGGGTTCTGACGTTCTAAGTGTTGGATTCAGGAGCTAGTTCCGTAGGAAACATAGACATAATTTCGTACCATTTGGCTTTTCCCTCACATATGATTTGCAAACATTGGCGATCTTTTATCTCTGGAACACTATACCTTTTGGATCCTTTTGGTGCTTTTTGGGGGTTCTGACGTTCTAAGTGTTGGATTCAGCAGCTACTTCCGTAGGAAACATAGACATAATTTCGTACCATTTGGCTTTTCCCTCCCATATGATTTGCCAATCTTGGCTGTCTTTACTTCTGGAACACTATACTTTTGGGTGCTTTTTTTGCGGGTTCTGACGTTCTAAGTGTTGGATTCAGCAGCTAATTCCGTAGGAAACATAGACATAATTTCGTACCATTTAGCTTTTCCCTCCCATATGATTTGCAAACATTGGCGATCTTTTATCTCTGGAACACTATACCTTTTGGATCCTTTTGGTGTTTTTTGCGGGTTTCTGACGTTCTAAGTGTTGGATTCAGCAGCTAATAATTTCGTACCATTTGGCTTTTCCCGCCCATATGATTTGCAAACATTGGCGATCTTTTATCTCTGGAACGGTATACATTTTGGTGCTTTTTGGGGGTTCTGACGTTCTAAGTGTTGGATTCAGCAGCGAATTCCGTAGGAAACATAGACATAATTTCGATTCCACTGCGAATTCCAATTTTCTGCAATATTTTAAGTGCGTTTTGTAAAAGGAAATTCAATTGATTTCGAAAGTGAAAACAATAGTTTTTTAAAAATTACGGTTTTAAATTTATTATTAGGGTCCGCTTCGGAATCCAATTTTTGGCAATATTTAAATTGAAATCGAAAAAAATGGTTTTTCTTATTAAGGGTTTAAATTTATTATTTAGGCCCGCATCGAAATCCAATTTGTGGCAATATTTCAATTGCGTTATACAAGGAAATTTGATTGATTTTGAATTGAAAAAAAATAGTTTTGTTTTATTAAAGGTTTAAATTTATTAGGGTCCGCTTCGAAATCTAATTTTTGGCAATAGTCTAATTGCGTTATAAAAGGAAATTTAATTGATTTTGAATCGAAAAAACTTGTTTTTTTTATTAAGGGTTTAAATTTATTATTAGGATCCGCTTCGAAATCCAATTTTTGGCAATATTTTGAAAGGGAACCATCACAGTTGATTTGAAACGGTGGGTACCTCATCGATTTTCTCGAAGGTTTTGGATTGTAGAAGTATTTATATTATATACATTTATAATGTATGTATTTATATATATACAAGTATATATACATATCATATGGTAATTGTTCATAATTATAGTGGCGGACAATCACTTAGCACGTTCTAAGTGTTGGTTTACGTTCTAAGTGATAAATGGGCCTAAGTGATATTTTGACGTTCTAAGTGATGAATTTTCCCTACGTTCTAAGTGATGAAATTTTGCTACGTTCTAAGTACGAAAAAAAAAAAGGAAAAAAATTTACGTTCTAAGTGATTGTCCGTCACTATAAACCTGATGATTATTTCATAATATCTTAATAAAATATATTATGAAGTCATCTTTAAGACACAGAAACCCATTTAAAGAAATAACCCCATAAAACTTTAATGAGTGAAAATCAAGATAAGAAATGTTCAAAATGCAAAAAGACACAAACTCTGGAAAACTTTGACAATGGAAAGGCGTTATGTCAAAAACGCTGTGAATATAAACAACAGTATAGAGAAAACCATAGAGAAGAATTGCGACAAAAAGAGCGGGAACGCTATGAACAATACAAAGAAAAAACACTTGAGAAACAGAAAGAAAAGGTTGAATGTCCCATTTGTAAGATTAACATTTCAAGAAACAAAATGCAAAGACACGAAAGAACCCAACGACATAAAAAAAAACAACCTGAACAAACCTGACCAAAAACAAATAGATCAACAAAAGAAAACTGATGAAGAAATGACACAAATAAAACACCAAGAAACCATAGACTACCTCAACGCAACATTTCCCTCATATCCAGATGGTTAAACCCCAACAGTCTAAACAATTATCCCCCTCATCCAAACACAGAAAGTCCCAGAAAAGTTAGGGACAAAAAATCCCCAGAACATACAACACATAAAACATCAAAGATAAGGAAGAAACATTGAACATAATCCTAAAAACCACAACAACCAACATAAACCCTTGGGATGTCCTAGCATCCCTGTTTCCCCATTTTTTTATGGGATATCCATCAGGTGTATTCAGGTGTTGTGTGCGGCATGTCATCATCTCATTGGCATGTCATTGCCAGTAACGCCGGAAGACACACCCTGTGCAACAGGCTGCCAAATCTCAGAATCACCAGGAACCCACAGTGGAAGAGGCGGGGCCAGCAGTTCTGTTGATGATGTGGTCATTGTTTGCTAAGCAAAGGAGGCGAGGACCAGGAGACTTTTTGCAAGCCTGCGAGTATCGTTCGACAAGGACGTGCTATGAAGACACGATTGTTTATGATTTCAGGCTCTAATGCACAATCAAATTTTCCATGGTTTCCATCCTGCTCGACAGGTGGCTGTGGCTGTGCTTCATGCAAAGGCGAGAAGGGTCGCTCCATGGGAGGTGTAAACATTTGTTGAAGTTATCAAAGGTACATCACATCTTTTCAACTAATAATTCTCATTGAATTCCTATTCCCGTCCACTGTTTGTTTGTCTCAAATGGGATCCCCCAATATCCTGAGAGGCCAGTAGCAGCTGCCAAAGGCAAACAACATGAATTTCCATAGAGGTTTTGTCTGAAAAAGGCGCCCCTCAACCTCCTGGTTGATCATCATTCAATTAAGATTGCCATTTGGGGCGTTATACAGTTCTTTCACACCCATCTTGGAAATCATCCAGTGATGAGTTTTGCAACAAACGGAAACGGAACCCAGTGAAACTCCAAATCTGCCAGGGCAATGGCCAGGGTCCACGGCTTGTTGATCTTACGAGCGGAGAGGCACCACAGATGAGGAGTAGACCTGAAATTAGATTTCTGATCGTGATCATCATCAAAACATATCAATATGATCGTTGACATAATAAACATAGTCAATTCGATCTCACTTCATTTTCACATGGACGATAACGAGGCATAAGGGCCTGTGCCATTGATGCCACGTTGCAGGTCTACCACCTGCCAGAAGAAGGTTGTGTCTCCATCGGTCGACGTGCCGATTGTGAGGTGGGCGGTGAGTTTATGTGAGTTTCTCAGACGGAGCTGAGAGGTAGAGCTGCGAAGGATCAAGATATTGCCCTTCTACTTCTAATAGGACGTTTTGAATAGCTTGAGATGTTGCAATCTCTAATTCATTTTCAGTTTTCGATAGTTTTCCGAGCTTTTAAGCACCTGTAAAGCCAGGGGAAAGAATTTGGGCACCACCAGCGCGACAAAACAGATGGATGTTCTCCCGTTTCAAAAGCTAGATGAAACCCGTCAAAGAAAATGGTTCTCAGGTTACTCGCTGGCTTGCCATTCCCCAATTTGAGTGGCCAACGTTAAACATATTTCTTGAAATGCCAGGTGGTGATTCCCAGAGCCGTCGTGAGTGGTCATGTTCTCAGAGACACCCATCAGGGAAGTGATGAACTAATGTTGTCAGTGGCCTCAATGCATAGTTCCCACGTAGCAACCTTAGGTCGGCAAACAGTGATGTTCTGGTAGAGAAAAATCTTGGGTTGCAACTGGCCAATCCCGGATGAAGCATGCTTGGATCCTACAGATTAGACTGAGATCTTCCAACATCTTCCAACACAGAATTCGAGCCGTGGGAGAGAAATCACAGCAGATGTTCCCTACATGTTTTAGGCCGACATTGCGTGCTGACCTGCTCGCCCGATGGTGTGCAAGTCGAGGAACTCCAGGGATTGAATCAATTGAATGCGGCTGATGGAACCATTCAGTCATTCTCATACACGCACACACATATCATATGTAGCTGTACGTGTATATAATTACTGTATATAATTGTATATGTATAATATATATATATACATATAAATACACCGTATTAATATGTACACAAACATACAAACATGCACACAAATAGAAGACATATATAAACATGCATATAAGGGTCGTGGCTGAGAAAGCAGAGGTTTCCGAGATGTGAAGGAAGAAGAGTTCGTTTGTCAATACTTCACTGAGTCATGAATCGCGTGGTCGGAGTGTTCTCAAAAGATTGCTAGCCTTTAGCGTCAATTGCGGACCTGCTGATAGTGTCTGCCTGCAGGACGAAAGCTCCAACGGCACTTTTGTGAACGAGATTCAGGCACCCTGGGTGCTTCATAGTGCTTCTATTAAGCAGTGAAACGAAGACGTATATGTGAGAGGGGGAGAGAGAGAGACCTAGACAAGGGACCACGACAGGTCCAGAACATGTATCACACGCAATGTGAAAAGCGTGGTGGAAAAACGTAGATCCACCCCAGCACTCTTTCTGTACCAACAGACTCTTGCACCAGGGTTCGGAATGACGATATTTGAGCAAGAGAGATGCAAACTACTCAACAGCACTGTGGACTTATTACCAGGTGCCCAAAGGCTTTAGCCTTCCGCAGCGCATCCCACTTCGCGATGGCGATCATATCTACTTGGCATCCCGTCGTAGCCACAGCAAGAAATTCAAACATTTCCAATCCTTGGGCGATGCTTACCCAGGTGTCCTTGAGACAAAGGTGTTCAGAAACTCTAGTTGTGAGGTTTCTGGTCACATATATATATATATAGTTATTTTAATACCATGATGATGTTCTAAGTGATAAACATATATAAATATATATAGATATAGATATAACATGAACAAAACACAAATATAGAATATACGCATAAATAAATACTTGTTCCAAATTCTCTGCACATTTTTTGTTCTCCCTCTTTTCGCAAATGCTTCTTTTCTTCCTCTATCTGGAAATCCGTTGAAACAGCTCTGGCTCAACCATCCATCACCAACGGCCAAACCTGAGGCGATGGACCCGGATTGCTCTTCCTCACTGGAGAGGCACTGGAGAGATGCAGAAACTGCAAGCATTTTTCGCCAGCATGCTATGTGGCAACCGGGGTAACTAAAAATATTTTCTAGATGAATTAAACAATGGAGCCTTGAGCATTCACGGCCTCACCGCACAGTTATCGATGTCGAGGATGATGAAGATGACGAGGAGGATTGAGCCATTGCAGGTTCGGAGTCTGCCAGCCGGAAGCTTCCTCAAAGCACAACTTGTTTGGAAGAAGAGTTGAGTGCCCTAATTTAGGAGTACTAACCACTGACTTTGGGTTCTGGCCTCTACCTCTTGTCCAGGTATCCACATGATGAAATCACTGCAACTGTACACATCAATGTATATCACTCTACACACTTGGACAAGCTGGATGTGTTTGCGGATGTTGTAGACATACAAACAATCAGGACCCCTGTAGACATAAAGGTCCAAGATGTCAGCACTGGAGGTTGTTGAGAATTTCATGACTATGGATTATCAATGATTATCATACCTGACATTTCTTCTGGGATGCGAGAAAGAACATATAGAATAAACACAATACCAAATCCGATTCCCACGATCCATGCATCGCATTCACGGCCTGATCAGAGACTATGGCACTGAACTGCACGACCACAGGTTGCTTTCCTGACATCAAGGACATCAAAAGGACATCAATGCTGAGATCAATTCTGAGACTTTCCGAATTCACTTTGAGTTTGCTATGCAGCTGAGGGGTGGCCGAAGGTTTGATTGAGGTTGCAGGGTTTGAAAAAGCAGCCAGCCTGGTTTCCATGGCAGTGTGTGTGTACTAAAATGAAGCCTGGCTACAGAAGCAAGAGATTTATGCCGTGCGATCACTTTCAGTAACTCTCAAGATCAAAGAGGCCACCCAACATGTTTGAATTCAAAATTTCCGACAGTTTGCGCTCCGGGAGGTGTGCATCGACATGAAAGCATATCAAAACACATGATTGTTTCATCATTCATGTTTCAATCTTCTCTAACATTTGAAATGGGTGACATTGTTGAGAGAGAACATACAGTATGTAATGGGGCAGCCATGATTTCACTATTTTACGATAGCTGTATGCCTGTCTTTGCATGCTCCTGAAGAGTGCAAGCGTAAAGACATTCAAAGTTCAGAGAAGGTGCTCAACGTCATTGCACGCCACTACGTCGACGAAGTCAAGATGGCTTGCTAGGGGACTTTGGTGCCACGGATCGTGGTTCGCGACTTGTACAGTAGGCTTGGGGGGAAAGGTCGGAGCTTCTGCGCTTGTACCTCGGTTGCGCTCCTTGAAAGTTCCGCATAATAGCAACAGAATTCACGTCCTGAGTCCTGGAGTCCAAGAGAAGTATGTGTGCCGCGCTGGAGAGATTCGTTTTCAAGACGGGACCATCTACTTCAGCAGCAGCAGAGATTTGATATGCAGCGAGCCTACCGTACTGCGAGAAACTGCATTCACACACCAATTGCTGTCAAATCTTGAGAAGAGAACCTCTCACGATCGCAACTCGATAGATTTTGCCAACTTTCTTGGCAACACGCAGCTCTGGAAAAAGAGTTTTGAAACCATTGAGAAACTCCAAGCAACAGGAAAGCGTTCACCAGGACATAGACACTTCCTGACTTCTTAAGAGTAGTTTTGTGGAGACTCGGTCAGCCGCCAGACCGGCATGCTGCGATGCGTCTGCAAGCCGTGCTTGCAGGCCCCGATATTTTTTGTTGGATTCGTCCTTCAGGAATTCCATGGAATTCCTATGCAAGGCTTTCACACAGCTCTGCAGCACTGAATAGTCAAGAACCCTGAACAGTCTGCATTAATTTATGCAACATTTTTGTCATGGAGAACTTTGGACTGCGGGTTGATGTTGGCAATCGCTGGAGGGCTGGTGTTTTGGCAAGAAAATGCTTTGACGAGCGGTGTGGCAGCTCAGTGTTGCCCTGGGTGAAATATGGTGAAATCCAGGGGGTCACATCTGATGTGACATGGTGACATGGGCCTGTCTGAACATGGGGTTTTTGCTGTACATACTATACTGGTATACCCCCAAAATGTCAATTTAATGGATTAACAGTATACATATGATTCATATGATGGGTAAGCAATGGATTTGGGATAGGCATGGATAGCCTTTCAGACATGAATTGACATCGACCCGACAAGGGCAGTCGGGGCCGGCACTGGGTCGTTCCAAGGTGACCCACTTTGGTGGCGCCTGGCAGTGAATTCCAGTGATTTGTCGTGATGGCCTTGGAACTGCCGTGGAGCACCTGCACAAAAAAAGCTTCGAAAACGCTTCGCCAAGGCAGTGGTGTTTCCGAAATCTACAGCTCTTCCTTGATCGGGACTGCCAAGTGAACTTGTTGGTAGCTAAGGGCTTCCGCCGGAACAGATTGGAACAGGAAATTACCAGAATCTGAAACTGGTCATTGTTGCAGTTGATTTTCAAGATGCGAGATACAGAGTGTCGCCCCAGCTGCAATTGAGCTCTTTGCCTATAGATTCTATAGATGGTGCCATGGAGGACATGCTCCAAGATCCACTTCAGCTTGAGAATTCATGTAAGCAAAGCATTACACCTCCAGATACCTCCATGTTTGATGCCATGGTGGCCATGGTGGCCATGGTGGCCATGGTGGCCATGGTGGCCATGGTGGCCGGTGACTGAGGCCCAACATCGTTGAGCACAGAAGCTCTGCGGCCTTGACGCGGATTCTCGCCTGGGATGCGCCAACAGCACCTCGACGGACGTCGCAGACATCGCAGACATCGCAGTGGCCAGGGATGATCCGTCAGAGCTCTGACCGTTGCAACTGAAGTTGCCACATCCTGTAACAAAGATTAGAAAAAAGCCAAGTGAGCCAAGTTTACATATTTTACATTCTTTTATGATTTTTACTGCACCTTTGGGTTGATTTGGGTGGCGCCCTTATCTTAGGCTTTTGTGGCATTTGCCTCAGATTGCACAGGCTGCTTGGTAGCATAGCTGATTAGTTGTGGTCGATGGCACTTGGTTTGGCTGACATGGTACCAAACTGTTCGTCCGAGCATCAAGCCAACTTTGTGGAAGATCTTAGGATTTCTTATAACAATGTGTGTATGTATATATACAGTATATATATACTGTGTATATATATACACTGTATATATAAATATATAATATAATAATATATATATATATATATTGTATGTGTAGAGCCAAAGTAAATGGGAGAGAAGAAGCACTGACTTTGCAGTTTGTTGTTTTTTTTTTATCACAGTGTGCAGCTATAGAGGAGTTGGTTGGACACACACACACATATATATAGGATTCACTTCAGGGAGGTTGGGACTTGTCGCATCCACATTTCAAATGATGCCAGTGATACCTTCTGATGTGTGTATTTTGAGACGTATGATTTCCGATGAAACTGCATTGAAAGTTAGTCTATTTTCTGACAGTCTAAACGTCTAACCGCTTGGCCCCCTATCAGTTGTCATTGGAAATAATAAAGAACTTCTCGACGGAACAAATCCTCAATTTTCCGTTTTTTCTTTCCGGGAGATGTGATGAGTACCAGCTTCGATGCCTCAGCAAAACAGTGCCACATATCGCCCAGATGCGCTTTGTGCTCCTTTGGAGCCCTGGGTGGCTGTAAGACTGGAGGAGCCCAGTGTGGTGCGCAAGCTGCGCAAGTCGTGGGACTCCGTTGGACTGTGTGAGGGGTTGCAAGGCTACCCTTTCTGGCAGTCATTTGGTCACACGGTGACACGTGTTGTGATATTGCTTTGATATTGGATGGTGAATTTAGGCTCCTTCCATCTTTTTCCAGCGTCTTTCTGGCGTTCTAGGAGACCATCGTCGTAGGTAGGAGCTTTTGGACGATTCAAAAGGTTTGCCATAAGTTGCGCCCAAAATTTCACAGCCTCCAGGTACTTACTTGACACAAGTACTCGGCATGAGGAGAGACACTAAATTTCAACCGCACCAGTGCACAGGCACAATAGATGTTTCCAGCCGCACCAGTATTTCGTGCCCAGTCGAGGTACAGTGCTTCAAATATGAAGACTGTCAGACTGTCGCAGGGCAACCCAAATTTCCACGTCGATCTTGCTGCCTCATGCAGAACAGCTTCGGGCGATATGGGTCTAGTGGGACAGAGCGAAGCTGATTGCAAGGTAAGTAAGATAGATGCGCACAGTGAAATATGTGAAATCTATTGAAATCTGTATTCATCAATATTCAGAATATCAATCACAGTGCTTGTTCGCATTTACAAGTGGGTTGGTGAGTGGCCGGTTCCACTGCTGTTGCAGAAAACAGGTCCGGGGCTCACAAATTTGTGCCTTAGGTCGACACCACCACTACGACAAGCTCCGCATTGGCCACGTTTCATCCTGAGAAGCGATGTTGAACCGCTGTGAGACCTCTTGGACAAGACCAATCCACTGGCATTGGCTCAGGACGAGCACCACTGTGGCAACGACAACCACGTCAAGCACCACTGTCCAAACTTCAAGCACCTCGAATCCTTTTGCGAACTTGTTCGAAGGTGGCAGAAAGTGCCTGAAACAACGGACACCGCGCGCCTGCAGAGTATCAAAGCATTTGCTGCCAATGAAGACTTTCTTCCCTTCTCCACTTGGTCAATTTGTTTGCCTCTCAGTTCTTTCCTAGTTCTTTCCTACCTCTCCGCAGGTCTTGGCAGGAGGCATGGAGGGTCTACTAGCTCCATTTCTAGTGAGTTTAGTGAGTCTAGTGAGTCTGGTGAGTCTAGTAGCCTTGTTCCAAAGGTTTCTCCAGGTATTCATGGCCGTCCACCAAAGGTCAAGCTTACACTTACAGTACATGCAGACGTGCAGTCATATTCTCTTCAAATCATGAAAACTAACCGACCCTTTTGTGAAGGTAGATGTATGTCGGAGATTTATTTGTCGATGTACAAGGCAAACACGTCTCTTGATGTGATTGCCCCCAGCCATTCTGTAGAGATCAGCATTTGCAGGCTTTCAGTGCCTGGGACGCTGGTTGCTTGGAAGCATTGTTTTGGTTTAAGTTGACAAAGCTCATTTTGGATGTTTTTTTAAAAGGTTTCTAAGCGCTGCAACAAACACCAACGCTTCTGATATCTCGAGTTCATGGGTGCACTTGTCCCGGCCATCCCCAAGAACTGCAGTTCGTAGCGGGCGCCATTCGGACTAACCTAGCTATAAACCGTGCAGGCTATCATGGCTGTACAGTGCACAGGTCATGGAACGTTCTGCCGACTTCGTTGATTGGACCGTGGTAGCTTCGTGGAATGCGCCACAGCCAGGTGCAAGTGGCATAGACAGAATGGACCTGACAACATAACAGGGTGCCAGGATGTTCCTGGCAAAAGGTCCTTACAGGTTAGACTGGGGCTGCACCAGGCTGCGAATTCTTGCGTGCTTTGATTTGCATGCAGGAATCGTTGTTAGCATAACAAGTTCGACCCATACTCTCACGCCGGGGTCAGAAGCTTTGATGGGGTGCCAGCGTGAGTGTTGATGCCGTGTTTTGCATTTGCTGTTGGAATCAGTGAATTAGGCTTCATCCCTCATCATGTTCTCGAAACTTAGATTCTGTCTGAGAAACAAAAATCGCATGTTTGCCATCCCCAGCTCCACCAAGACCATGAAAAGGGCCCATGTCCGAGGCAAATTCCCCAGGGCACGTGGCAGCCGACCGCTGACCTGTGCCAGCGCTGTTGGGTCCGCGTCCAAGCCTTCCCTGTGTTTTCTCTTGTTCCAATGATGTTGGAAGGTTGGTAGCTGTTGGATGCGGTTTTGATTTTGCACGGCTCTAGGTGCTGACCAGCATGCCGCAAATACTGTAACACTGGAGTCACTAGAGCTTCTGAAAAAAATGCGCAAACTGTATATATTTAATCATATTTACATTGTTGCTAGTGTTATTATTATTATTATTGTTATAATTGTTATTGATCGTCATCACTTCATCATGTTTGTTCTTACTCATTGACTTTTATTATCCTTATTGTTCGTCTAATTGTTATTTTCATACAATGTATACATATCTTGGCTTGAAGAAGGGGCATCTCAACATAGGTTTTGGGATGTACCGATCAGCTGCGCCAAGGAGGGAGGCATCTCCGTGGTGCTTGCGTGATTGATTTCGAGGGCCGCCGCATCAGTAAAATATGGCGTTCATCTGGGGATGGGTCAAACCTGTTGTGCATCATGTATAACATGTAAAATACATGTCTTTTAATATATATATATATATACATACATTATTTGTGTACTGTATACTGTATACACAGACATCTATCTATCTATCGATCTATCTATCGATCTATCTATCGATTTCTTGATCTCTCGATCTCTCTATCTCTCTATCTTATCCTATCTTATCCTATCTTATCCTATCTTATCCTATCTTATCCTATCTTATCTGTCTATCTACCTGTCTGTCTGTCTGTCTATCTCCATCTATGTATGTATGTATCCATCTATCTCTCCATCTACTATCTATATCTATCTATCTATCCATCCATATCCATCCATATCTAATCTATCTATCTAATCTATATCTAATTCTATCTAAATCTATCTAAATCTATCTATCTAAATCTATCTAATCTAATCTATCTAATCTATCTAATCTATCTAATCTATCTAATCTATCTAATCTATCTAATCTATCTAATCTATCTAATCTATCTAATCTATCTAATCTATCTAATCTTCCTAATCTATCTAATCTATCTAATCTATCTAATCTATCTAATCTTCCTAATCTATCTAATCTATCTAATCTATCTAATCTATCGAATCTATCGAATCTATCGAATCTATCGAATCTATCGAATCTATCGAATCTATCGAATCTATCGAATCTATCGAATCTATCCAATCTATCCAATCTATCCATCTATCCATCTATCCATCTATCCATCTATCCATCTATCCATCTGTCCATCTGTCCATCTGTCCATCTGTCCATCTGTCCATCTGTCCATCTGTCCATCTGTCCATCTGTCCATCTATCCATCTATCCATCTATCCATCTATCCATCTATCCATCTATCCATCTATCCATCTATCCATCTATCCATCTATCCATCTATCCATCTATCCATCTATCCATCTATCTATCTATCTATCTATCTATCTCTCTCTTTCTATCCATCTATCTATCAATCGATCGATCTATCGATCTATCGATCTATCCATCTATCCATCTATCCATCTATCCATCTATCAATCTACCTATCTACCTACCTATCTATCTATCTGTCTGTCCTTCTGTCTATCTATCTATCTATCTACCTATCCTATCTATCCTATCTATCCTATCTATCCTATCTATCCTATCTATCCTATCTATCCTATCTATCCTATCTATCCTATCTATCCTATCTACCTAATCTATCTAATCTATCTAATCTATCTAATCTATCTAATCTATCTAATCTATCTAATCTATCTAATCTATCTAATCTATCTAATCTATCTAATCTATCTAATCTATCTAATCTATCTAATCTATCTAGTCTATCTAATCTATCTAATCTATCTAATCTATCTAATCTATCTAATCTATCTAATCTATCTAATCTATCTAATCTATCTTTCTATCTATCTATATCTATCTCTATCTATCTCTATCTATCTCTATCTATCTCTATCTATCTCTATCTATCTCTATCTATCTCTATCTATCTCTATCTATCTCTATCTATCTCTATCTATCTCTATCTATCTCTATCTATCTCTATCTATCTCTATCTATCTGTATCTATCTCTATCTATCTCTATCTATCTCTATCTATCTCTATCTATCTCTATCTATCTCTATCTATCTCTATCTATCTCTATCTATCTCTATCTATCTCTATCTATCTCTATCTATCTCAATCTATCTCTATCTATCTCTATCTATCTCTATCTATCTCTATCTATCTCTATCTATCTCTATCTATCTATCTGTCTATCTATCTATCTATCTATCTATCTATCTATCTATCTATCTATCTATCTATCTATCTATCTATCTATCTATCTATCTATCTATCTATCTATCTATACATTGTTGTTATGGCATATCTTGGAGAACATCTACTTAGTGTACCAGCTGTTTTGATGTGAATTCCAGGGTCCCAGGGTTTGTCTGACCCACACCCATCTCCTGCAAATTTCAGAGCCAGGAGTCTTCCATCATTGAGGTGTCCTTTGACAGGAAGGCATGGGCCTGCAGAAACTGCCAAATCGCTATCTGACTCTATACAAGTAGTTGTACATTGATGGCAGCAGAGGTGCCCCAAATTCGGACCGCAGACCCCGAAGACCCCGAAGACCCCGAAGACCCCGAAGACCATGAAGACCCGGAAGACCCCGAAGACAGCTGAAATTGGACAATTGCTGTTGCCATCTCTGCTTTGTAAGTGACCATGTTCTGCAAAGCCCAGCGCTAGGCACTCTCAGCGCTTCCGCAGTTGAAACACTTTTCACTGGGTCCCTGCTATGTTTTTTTCGTGCCTCCTCTAGACGGCCGGAACATGCTCACATTGCAAGCATGCAACACAGCTGGGAGAGAAATTGGTTGGGGCATGGACTGGTATATATCCAACCTCAAAGATCTGGCTAAATCCAATCCGCTGCACAGTCAAGTATTGCAAACTCTCATGAACGGTCTAGCCCCAGCCAGAATCCCGTTGACAAGCTATAAGTATGGATAGCTATGGCACGGTAAATCCATGGAGTGTGAGATGAAACAACAAGGGAAACACAGTGGTCCTGGTGCAGATCTACTTTGGGGATGGCAACATCGAGATTCTGAGAGGCACATGGGATCCACGGTGCGGAGGGCGGTCAGCTGTGTGGTGGTTCAACCCAAAGACGATGTTGATATCTTTGTTGATCTACATGTCTCTTGAGATATACTAGATACGTACATAAACACATATCTATCCGTCTACCTACCTATCTATCTATCTCATCTCATCTCATCTTATCTGATCTTTTCTTATCTATCTATCTATCTATCTGTCTATCTATCTATCTATCTACCTATCTATCTATCTAGCTGTCCATCTATCTCTCTATCTGTCTATCTACCTATCTACCTATCTATCTCTCTCTCTATCTATCCATCTATCTATCTTATCTTATCTTGTCTTGCCTGGTCTTATCTATCTGTCTGTCTGTCTGTCTATCTACCTATCTATCTACCTATCTACCTATCTATCTACCTATCTATCTATCTATCTATCTATCTATCTATATATACATATATCCATATATCCATCTATCCATCTTTCCATCTATCCATCTATCCATCTATCCATCTATCTATCCATCTATCTATCTATCCATCTATCTATCCACCCATCTATCTCTCTATCCATCCATCTATCCATCTATCCATCTTTCCATCTATCCATCTATCCATCTATCCATCTATCCATCTATCTATCCATCTATCTATCTATCTATCTATCTGTCAGTCTGTCTGTCTATCTGTCTGTCTATCTCTCTATCTCTCTATCTCTCTATCTCTCTATCTCTCTATCTATCTATCTATCTAAAACTCTTATTACATATTTATTTGTATTTATATATTATATCATTTTTAATATTCTATAGTCTTGTTCTATGATATCATGATCTGATGAATCTTTCCTGGGCAACATGAGCCCCCCTTGATGCCGCAGGCTCGCTACCAACCCTTCGATTACCGGCAAGGAGCTCGCCCTGGTTCAAGGCTAGAGAGTGGGCAACTTCACAGCCGATGGCACGATGGCATAGTGCCCAATATATGTATATATATATACATATGGGGAGATATCTGGGGATGTAACATATGATATATATACATATCTTATACATGGGGATTCATTATCACTTGGTAATATACCATGAATAATCAATAATGGTCTGCATGTCCCAGCAACTTTTAAACTTCAGAGCAAACTCACTCACACTTGTAGCAAGTTCGCGGGGGTCACCCTGCTGTTTGCACTTCCAACATTTGTGTTGATTCAAAACGTAGATTCCAGCCGACCCGCTAAAGCTGAGTTAAGTAGTGACAACCTATCTTGCAGTCAGGTTGATGCCAGTCGGCAGCGGCTGCAAGTGGAACCTCAGGCAGGAGATAGGGTGTGATGAGGGACTGGATAAGGGGACCTGTGGTCGTGGTTGAAATTCCAATTCGGAAAGTCAATGGAAATCCTGATTTCAACAATTCGAGAAGTTTTGATCACTTGATCATTTGATCCCCTAGCCATGTCCCAATTCGAATCAAGCGCCAGGGAGGAGCTTTGCTGGGCAGCTCCAGTGCGTGTTTGCGAATCAAGATCCTGGTGCCTTGGCTCAAATGTTGGGAGATCTTCAATGGCCCCTGTGGGATGCTTTGAAGGGTGAAGGCTTCACTCATCAGAGCAGTGGGCTTCAAATATCTTCAAGCGAGTTATGCGGAAATGCTTTTAACATGTATTGGGATTAGTCCGCAGCTATTCAAGGCTTGTACAGCGCCCCGGCTGTTGAGGACAGGGCCATCCTGAATGCAGATGGCACTGGCTACAAGCACGACTATGACTGCTCTAAGGGTTTTGCTGCACCGCACATTCCAAAGAACTAGTGGGTAGTAGCTAGATTTTTGCGGGAGAGATGTTGGGTATCTAAGACACTTTCAACAAAGACCCAATGAACTCAACTTTTCGTCACAAATCGAACAAATCAAAGGGTTCATAGTTGATGAATTGTCTGTGCTCGTCAAGGTGTCCATTTCTGGGTAGAGGAAAAACCTCTTTCAGCCTGTGGTGTCCAAGGATATTTGTTGCCAACCAGCCATGGTCACGCCGGATACATTTTAGGAGACATGCATTCGAGATTATCAGCCTCCTATGTTCCTTAGCCGGAAGCCTAGTGCCAAAGCACAGGCACATCAATTGCCCGAGCTGCCACCTTCGAAGGGTTCCAAGTGTAGCGCCCAGGTTCAGATCCTGTCAATCAAGAGACAGGTGTTGTTCCAGCCTCGGACTTGTGGCGTCCAATCCTCCCAAGGCCAGCTTTTGCTGTCAGTGTTTCCGCACTTCTCGGAATCGAGCAAGGCATATATGCAAGATTGCATTATTTCATCATATTTTAATATATTTTATCTTTCAACCTGTGACAGATTTTGTTTAAACAAACCTCCTAGTTCCTGTTCTGTTCTTCAAGTCTGTAGGCCCTGTAGGCACTGTAGGCCCTGTAGGCCCTGTAGGCCCTGTAGGCCCTGTAGGCCCTGTAGGCCCTGTAGGCCCTGTAGGCCCTGTAGGCTGAGAATGGCCACCACTGAGGACCTTCTGCCAAAGTTGCAGCTCAGCTTCGACCAGGTGATCCGACTTGCGGATGCGCCGGTGGCGACACTGCGGGCAAAGTCCATGGGCCGAACAGTTGAACTGCACAGCTTTGTTTCCTCCCAAAAAACATATAAAAACCATAAATATGTAAAAACATGGTTACGGCACCTGTAGAAGTGCGGCGCTTTCAGCATTTTTGAAAGTGGCAAATCGTCAGTTTTTTCATCTTCATGTGAGACACCATAGTCCAACTTTGTTGTTGTGTTTTTTTTTTACTAAGCTTTCCTAACCGATCCATGATCTAGATCCTGAGACCCCAATTCGATCGCAAAAGTTTGTATCAGGAACGTCTTTGAAATTACTTGAAGAAGATGTTACACACATATCAAAGAACGTCTTGCAAGTTACTTGAAGAAGATGTTACAACGTATCAAGAGCGCCTTGGAAGTGACTGGAAGAACATGTTCCAACGTATCAGGAACGTCTTGGCAATGACGTGAAGAAGATGTTACAACGTATCAGGAACGTGTTGTCGAGAACGCAGACCTAAGAACGCTATTACCCCCCTGAACCCCCCCTAAGATCAAGATCGTTAGGGACGTTACATGAAGAAGATGTTACAACCAGTCAAGAGCGTCATGGAAGTGACTTGAAGAACATGTTCCAACGTATCAGGAACGTCTTGGCAAGAAGAAGATGTTACAACGTATCAGGAACGTGTTGTTGAGAACGCAGACCTAAGAACGCTATTACCCCCCGAAACCCCCTAAGATCAAGATCGTTAGGGACGTTACATGAAGAAGATGTTACAACCAATCAAGAGCGTCATGGAAGTGACTTGAAGAACATGTTCCAACGTATCAGGAACGTCTTGGCAATTACGTGAAGAAGATGTTACAGCGTATCAGGAACGTGTTGCTGAGAACGCAGAAAAAAGAACGCTATTACACCCCCCCGACCTCCCCCGAAAAAGATACGCAATGTGCAAAAGTGACAACTGTCCCGCCCCTCCATGGGCGCCGCCACCAAAAACATGTACCAAAAACAGGTTGGTGCCATGCCTTTATACACAGCTCATTGGTTGGATCTGATGGTGCCACAAGTTCCGAGGTCCGCTCCAGTGGGTGGCGAGAGTATGCCGCCTGACCAGATTTTGGATCTGACTCAGGTGCAGATTGTTGGGTCAGATGCGGGATCTCATACCTAAGACATGCAAGGGCTAGTCGTGGGTTTGAGCTGAACCAGAACTGCACATCAGGGCCTGAGCCGCCTCAAAATCCGTCCACCCAAATGTGTTCAACCTATTCGGGCATTTGTGCCCACCGGATGCAGGCCACGGTGTTTAAATGGGATAGAGCTGGAATCCAAGATGATGCTTGCCTGCATTCAGATGCACCAAACTTCAGCGTTGAGGTTGGAAGTTTGGGTCATACGCATTTTGCATTTTGCGCACATCGGATGCAACGACCAATGGATGACTTGCTTCGCCACCAAGACCCAGGCTGGAGCCATTGACATCTATCCCTCAGAGCTTATCCCGCAAACATCGTGAGACTTGGCAGTTGTAACATGTTGTAACCATGGCAACGCTGAAGACTTTGTGCGATTTTCCCATGTATTCAGATGGTATCCTACCTCCTATTCTAGAAAGTATAAAATATTGAAAACTAAGAAGCTGACCATGCGACCCGGACACGAAGTATGCGGTGAAAGTGTTGTTTGACAGTGATTCATTGATGATGATTGATGACCTGGATTCACAGAATTCAGAAGTCCTTGTTTTTTGTTTTTTTTGCTCTATACTCTATCCCTACCACATTTGCATGAACGTTGACGGAGCAACTGAAAGGTACGAACTCATCATTCTGCCTGGTGTGATCCAGGAGCAGCGCCGGAGTAAGGGACGGTACCTCCAAAGCACAGTGCAAGTGATATAGCCTCAAGCTATGGCTCACTACTGTAGCAAACTACCACAGCTACTACAGTTACTACAGCTGGTAGGTGTACAGAGAAATAGCTGCAAGTTGCCTGCATGGATGATGGAAGATGCCGGGTCGCACACGTTAACACATAATTACTCCGAACTTTTGATGGTCTTGCTGAATCTGGGGTCCATTTGGTTCACACTCAGATGTTAATTTGGTCCCGAAAACAAGGTCGAAAAAAAGTGATCCTCAAACTCAAATAGCAGTTTTGCATACATCACAAGCCCTCTTCCTGTACATTCACGGTTGTGAACACTAGCATACAACAACCCAGGAAATCTCTCAGATTCTCCTTCTTTGGCACCACAACCAGCTTGATGCACAGGACATAGCCGGCAATTCGTGGGAAGGAGGCTTGTGGCACTCTGCCTTGCGTCCAGAGAATGATTTGGTTTTAGCACGTGAGTTATTCAGTGTGAGAAACCATGGCAACATTAATTACATTTTTCCTCTTTTTGTCACTTGGCCATCCTCCAAGTAGTAGACGAAGTCGTGGTTTCATCAGGTTTCGCATCAGGCCTTTCCTCGAACTGTTTCACCCTGCCAGGTAGCTTCCTCTTCACAACGACTTGTGGGATTTATGGATGCTTTCAGCCATCAACAGTCGGTGCCCCAGTGACCCCAGTGCATCTGATGAGGTGATCCCAGATCTCAACTTGATCCCTGAGGCTGCACCAACTCAGGCGCTGGGTGAGTCATCCGTGTTAGTTTCTGTTTACTGAACTAATCCAGAATGAATATGGAGAGTAACCCCTGCAGCGCCATGCAAGGACCCTGAACCTGAAGCACAGCAAGGCGACATTGCTACTCGGGCTTCAATGGGACTCATGGTGCAAAGGTGCTGATGGAGTTACCTTGAAAATCTGAGGCCATTTGGCTGATCATCGTGGGCATCCTTACGATTGGTTGTGGAGATCCCAGCGCTGATAAGCGGAGAAACTTGAAGGTTGATGCGGACTGTGGTGCTTCAGGTCTCCCAACAGGCAACCATGCAAAGGAGTAAATAGCTGTGAGGTCACTACACATTTTACAGAATCTATATACTCATTCAGGTTCTGCTTTTTGAAAGTATATGTTCATGCATATCATTCATTCATCTTTCTAGAACTTGTGTCTAATGCCTTGATCCTCCTACTCCTACATACAAACACACACACACAGACACAATGCTTGGGAAAGCTTCAAGGTGCCTTTGGTGTGGCCGTCTTTCAATTGTACGCAGGGTTCCCGGTGCTACTGCGGCCCATTTCTTTCATTGTCAAACTATTTGTGTCTTACTGATAAATTAAAAGACGAAAGTGCTTGTGGCATGCTGCATGGGTCCACATCGAAGCAATCTTCTCTGTAATCGGCTGTCATGCATTGACAAATGCCGATTCTGCAGTGAAACTTGGAAGATATTGTCGAGAGATGACCAGAGAATGATTGTCATGAGTAACGTGTTGGCTGACCACTTTGTCAAGCATTCCTGGTCTTCCTCATATTTGTTTCCCTCGCGACATCCATCCCGAAAGAGCAAGCTGATCTGATTTTCTCAGATTTTGCCCATGCTGTGACAATTTCAACTCAGGTTCGCAAGAAAGTGAACTCCAGCGCTCAGGCGCCAGTGAAATCCACGGGAATTCACTGCCTTGCAGGACCTTGCAGCCAGCATTTTTCGTAATTCGGCAGTTTCAGCATGACCAAGGTGCACCCCATTGAGGTGAAGGATGGAGGCAACAAAAGGGTCGTGTCGTTGAAAGACACATTGCATCTCACGATGTCGGTTGCGAACTCAAGCGAAGAAGAAAAGAAGAGGCGAAGATGAGTAACGTGATGTAACGTGCTTTTCTTTTTCTTCCCGTTTTCAAGAGAGATCCGCGTCATCGTCATGAGAACTATACGCACTTCCCCTCTGCCAGTTGGGCGCAGCACGACTCAAGCTTCCCACGCCTCTGTCTATTCTGTCTGGGGCCAAGTCTTGAATCAGTTCTAGGGAAGCCAACGAGCACGTAGACATTCACTGTACGGGTGTAGGTTTGCAGTGCCAGTTTTGATTAGCCGATTTGGGTGGTTTCGAACATTGGGTGAATCGTTAAGCGCTGAAAGTGACAATGAGATTGCGACAATAGGAACACCCACTTACTCGAGTATAATAAAGCCAAGATATTCATTCCGTTGCATTGGAATCAATGTGCGAACCCATTTGAACTTACACAAGCCGGGATCCTTTTGACCTGAAATTATTTCCGTATAGGGAATTGCACGTGATCCCTGAAAAAATTCCCGATGGTTGAACCCACTGGCACCAACCGTTTCAATGGATATCCTCGCAGGTTTAGAGGGTTGCAAGAACTTGAGAAGATTTTGACTTTTTCGCGCTTGAGGAAGCAACTGAAGCGCCAAAAGTGGAGACAGGTGGTGCTGGGATGTTGACTGGCCAGGGAAGAGATAGATACATTCAGCATCATTCAGCATACTTAATACTTAAGACATCTCAAGACACTCTTCCAGTCCAGCACTCTAGAAGTGCAGGCACCTTTTCGCAAGGCATTGGTGGCTGTACTTTTCGCGCGGCTTTCCGTTCTGTAGGTCCTTCGGTGCATTGGAACGATGGGCCCAGTGCTGCCGGCCGAGCTTTGGAGATGGCGCCCTCAGGGGATGGCTGTCATGTTTTGCTCCAAAGGGGAGAGAAATTCTATGGCTATGACAGGCTATGACAACTTTTGATATGTGACATTTCCAAGTTGAGATACGTCAAAGGATCTCCTGACATTCCACAACTGATTGGGACCCGCCAGGTGGGCCGATCTTTGGTGATTCAGGCAGGGTTTCACTGTGTGCACTGGTACCCTCTTCACTCGAGAATCCCAAGAAAACTCTGATTTTAAGTTTAACCTATTTGGCTATGGATCAATACCTATAAGTACCATTTTTAGGGTGATGAACATCCATTTACCAGCTATTTTGAGGTTCACCAGGGGTACAAGGTTTTGACCCATCTCCATTTTGCTTCTTTTCGTGTCCGTTTAGTTTGCATTCACAAATTTTTAGTGAGGTGACAGAAAGGAGGTGACATCTTGACACCGAAGCTTTGCACTCCGGAAGGCTACCACTTGATAAAAACAGCAGCCAGCACACTAAGCAATGCTGATACCTCCAAATCTTATGCCACCAAGAGGTTACAAAGCCAGTTTCACTGAGAAACTGCTGGGATTTTTGCAAAGCCATGCATGTTTCTTCTCTATAGAATGCCTGGACCAAAGGGCTGCCTCATTGAAGCAGTGCCGCCCTCAGGCCCAAGTGCAGCCAATGGATCAAGGCCAAGTCAAAATCACAACCTTGTGAATGCTTTCTTTCATCTAGGGGCGTGTGTGATTCAGTGAATTACGTTTCATCAGCTAAGCTGCTGACAGACTCACTGGCCATAGGCTTGACTACCTGCTTGTATTTAGAGTCCCTGCTCAAAGTGCCACGGAACAGTGAACATTGTTGGGACATCAGCAGATTTCAAGCTTAGACAGAATCAGCAGATACCAAAAGTCAACCTCCAGTCTCGCAGAAGTTCTGTTTTTAGGTCTTCCACCTGTCCTTTGTGTGGTGGTTTGTAAGATTTTGTAAGTAAACAAGCTATCATGGTTGTCACATGTTGACATACTATGCCACCGCTTCAGGCCACAAGCTCATTGGACAAAATCCAAGGAAGCTGAAGACATCGGCAATAGTAGGCTCGATGGGTCAAATGATGTCTCAGAAGTGCCTCTTAGTGTTTAAACACGTCACTTGATTACAAAACGCTTCGGTTACACTTTAGCTCCTGCCTCAAGATTAAGGTCTGCAAACCGAGGATTTATTGTTCCGGAAGTATGTGAGTAGCGGCACTGGCATGGAGCGTCGCTAGGAAAGTTCATGAAGAACACGGTCCTCGGCAGCCGCACACAGATGACCATGTTGGTTTTGGTATCTTGGATGGATTCATTCCCGCGAATTGCAATCTGGACCGGTGGTTGTCCTCAATCTGAAGCGACCTTATTCTATGAGACATGGCTGCTTGCTGTCTTTGTCTATTCTTCCATTGCACACCTCCTGCCAGTGGACCTTTTTCGTCTGAGCCGAATCAAAGCTAAAGAAATGCTAGGCAATGTAAGGGTACATGCCGATATGACGCGGTATGCAGCAAGAAAGATGCACTTTTGCTGCGCCCAATGGCTTTAAGCCTGTTTCACTCCTTAGTGATTTTGATAGAACCCTTCCACTTCTCTCGTTGTTCTGCGAGAACAAATCTGCTGTTCTTTGTAGCAGGTGCTGGACGCGATCAGCAGTTCGTGCCTCAGTTTTAGAGACCATGGAGAGGCATGTCCTGCCACATGTTGGATCCGGCAGTGATCATGGTACACTGATACCCCCGCAGTTCAGTACGTGCAAATTGGCAGACCGAAGTGCAGGACATGTCTTGATTCCCATTATTTAGGCATTGGAATTTTCTTTCTTCCGGAACGGTGAGCAGCGGCAAACAATCCTGCGCTGCCTTGATTCGTGTTAAGTTAGTTAAGGTTCAAGCACGACAAGGGCGCACCTCCATTCAACCAAAAGGCAAGCTGGCCCACGGGCCCTATTGCTACAGTCCTACCTGGCAAGATCACTGGATATCATTGGCTGAGTGGCTATTGTCACTGTTCCATTAGACGAATTGTAGAGCTTCGCACACCGGCGATGCCACAAGGGTTATGTATAGTAGTGTGAGTGTTGGTGTTGTTCATGTGCTCTGCGCGTGTGCGCAGGTGCAGAGCACAGTGTGATGTTCTTGTCATACCGCAGCGTGTAACCATCGTACCATACATCTTTTTGTCGCATTTTTGTGCTTGTTCTTCTTCTCGTTGTTTGTTTGTTTGTCTGTCTGTCTGTCTGTCTGTCTGTTTGTCTGTTTGTCTGTTTGTCTGTTTGTCTGTTTGTCTGTTTGTCTGTTTGTTTGTTTGTTTGGTTTGGTTTGGTTTGGTTTGGTCTGGTTGGTTTGTTTGGTTTGGTTTGGTTGGTTTGTTTGGTTATGTTTGGTTTGTTTTGTTTTGTTTGTTCGTTCTCTTTCTTGCTTGCTTGCGTGCTTGCTTGCTTGCTTGCTTGCTTGTTCGCTTGCTTGCTTACTTGCTTGTGCTTGTGGTTGTGGTTGTGGTTGTGGTGGTTGTGGTGGTTGTGGTGGTTGTGGTGGTTGTGGTGGTTGTGGTGGTTGTGGTTGTGGTTGTGGTTGTGGTTGTAGTAGTAGTAGTAGTAGTAGTAGTAGTTGTTGTTGTTGTTGTTGTGGTTGTGGTTGTGGTTGTGGTTGTTGTTGTTGGTTGTTGGTTGTTGGTTGTTGGTTGTTGGTTGTTGGTTGTTGGTTGTTGGTTGTTGGTTGTTGGTGGTTGGTGGTTGGCTGGTTGGTGGTTGTTGGTTGTTGGTTGTTGGTTGTTGTTGTTGTTGGTTGTTGGTTGTTGGTTGTTGGCTGTTGGCTGTTGGTTGGCTGTTGGCTGTTGGTTTTTGGTTGTTGGTTGTTGGTTGTGGTTGTGGTTGTTGTTGTTGTTGTTGTTGTTGTTGTTGTTGTTGTTGTTGTTGTTGTTGTTGTTGTTGTTGTTGTTGTTGTTGTTGTGTTCCTCTTGTTCTTGTTCTAGCAACACAGCTTATTGTCGCATTTTTGTGACCCCTCAAAATCATCAAATAGGTGGTGTTTTCGCATATTTTTGAAAGCGGAGCAAAAAAACACCGTAAATACCGATGCTTTTTGTGCCTCGGAAGCCCAAAACCACGGTATTTACGATGTTTATTGCCTCTGGTAGCAAGCATCACGGCATTTACAGGGTTTTTGTGCCAGTCCCTAGCAAAAGCACTGGTATTTACGCAAAAATTGACTTCCAAAAGCATCTTATAATTTTAACATATTCTTTCCCGGCCCCGGACCCCGAAAAACGTGTAAACACCAGCAGAGTGGAGGATTTTTGGGGGGGGGTCGGAGGCAAGGCGCAACGCCCCCAGTAAGCTAAAGCTATTTATAGCGCTATTGAGTACACACACGAGCGGCAGCGCCACACAACCACAAAAAAACACAAAACACACACACACACACCCACACACCCCCACACACCCCACACAACACACCCACACACCCACACACCCCCACACACCAACACACGCACACACGCACACACGCACACACGCACACACGCACACACGCACACACGCACACACGCACACACGCACACACGCACACACGCACACCCGCACACACGCACACACGCACACACGCACACACGCACACACGCACACACGCACACACGCACACACGCACACGCACACACGGCGAGGCATCGCCGGATTCCAATTAGCTGGGTCCAGCTGCCAAGGCTAAAAAAAGTGCGGCTTGGCCACATTCAAACAGCAGCACCCTGAAGGACGGCACGGGCCTACGGGAATGGCCCGTATTGCCTAAAGTTACTTTCTGAACCTACAAGAAACTAGCTTTGTTTTTGCTATTAATGCTTTCTCCTGCCTTCTTGTTTGTTTTTGCTCCTCGCCCCTTGCCTTCTTGCTCTTGCTCCTTGCCCTTCTTGTTTGCTGCGTGGTGCTGGCCAACCAAACCAAGTCCAGCAGCCAAGCCTCGAAACGAGGGCTCGGCCACATTCAAGCAGCAGGGCCCTGAAGGACGGAACGGGCCTAGGGGCAATGGACCATACTGCCTAACGTTGCTTTGTGAACCGAGAAGAAACCAGCTCCAAATTGCAGCCTCCAAGCCTCCAAATTGCAGCCTCCAGGCCTTCAAATTGCAGCCTCCAAGCTTCCAAAACAGTGCCAGCGCCACAGCGAAACACAAAGCTACTGAAGGACGGACCACGCCTTCGGCCTGCGGCTGCCTGTGCCTAACGTCGCTTTTGAATTGCCAAGAAAGTCGCTCCAAATTGCAGCTCCAAGCCTCCAAATTGCAGCGTCCACCGCCACAACAGTGCCTTCACCTCCTCCAAATCCCCATGCACCTGAAGGACGAGGTGAACCAGGCCGATGGGGCTGCCACTGCCTAACGGCGCTTTCCGAACCGAAACTAGCTCCAAAAGAATCTCCCACGCATAAGAAAGGGGGGCTGCCACTGCCTAACGTTGCTTTCTGGAAAAAAGCAAGCTTCCAAACGCCATCCCCATGTTCCTGAGGGACGAGACGTGGGGCTGCCACTGCCTAACGTCACTTTCTGAACCGACAAGAAACTAGCTCCAAAAAGCATCTCCCACGTCTAAGAAAAGGGGGCTGCCACTGCCTAAGGTTCCAATGCGGAACGTAAAGAAGAAAGCAAGCTTCGAAACGCCAAATCCACGTGCTCCTGAAGGACAAGGCGCGCTCAGGCCGATGGGGCTGCCACTGCCTAACGTCGCTTTCTGAACCGACAAGAAGCTAGCCCCAAAAAGCATCTCCCACGCCTAAGAAAGGGGGGCTGCCACTGCCTGAAAGCAAGCTTCGAAACGCCAAATCCCAAAGCTCCTGCAGGACGACGCGGTCCAGCCCGACCGAGCTGCCACTGCCTAACGTCGCTTTCTGAACTTACAAGAAACTAGCTTCAAATTGCACGCCATCTTACCCCTTGCTGCTGGTAAGAAACTAGCGCCAAATCCAAATTGCAGCCTTCGAGCTTCTTCTTCTTTTTCTTCTTCTTGTTGCTTCCTGACTTCTTGCTTCTTGCTTCTTGCCCCTTGCTACTTGTAATAGCTTCTTGCCCCTTGCTGCTTGTAATTGCTTCTTGACTTCTTGCTTCTTGCTTCTTGCCCCTTGCTGCTTGTAATCACTTCTTGCCCCTTGCTGCTGGTAATCTGAACCGACAAGAACCTAGCTCCAAAAAGCATCTCCCACGCCTAAGAAAGGGGGGCTGCCACTGCCTGAAAGCAAAATTCGAAACGCCAAATCCCCATGCTTCTGAAGAACGAGGCGGCAGGCCGATGAGGCTGCCACTGCCTAACGTCGCTTTTTGAACCGACACGAAACTAGCTCCAAAAAGCATCTCCCACACCTAGGAAAGGGGGCTGCCCCTGCCTAACGTTGCTTTCTGATACATGACGAAGAAAGCAAGCTTCGAAACGCCAAATCGCCATGCTCGTGAAGGACAAGGCGGCCCAGCCCGACCCAGCTGCCACTGCCTAACATCGCTTTCTGAACCTACAAGAACTAGCTCCAAATTGCACGCCATCTGAGTTTAGAGGCTCAAAACGCCAAATCCCCATGCTTTTGCAGGACGATGCAGCCCAGCCTGACCGAGCTCGCACTGCCTAACGTCGCTTTCGGAACCGACAAGAAGCTAGCTCCAAAAAGCATCTCCCACGTCTAAGAAAAGGGTGCTGCCACTGCCTAAGGTTGCAACGCGGAACGTAAAGAAGAAAGCAAGCTTCAAAACGCCAAATCCCCATGCTCCTGACGGACGCGGCGGCCCAGGCGTTACTTTCTGGAACATAAAGGAAAAAGCAAGCAGCTTTCAGCTTTAAGCTTTTCTTCTTCTTCTTCTTCTTGCTTCCTGACTTCTTGCGTTTTGCTTCTTACCCCTTGCTGCTTGTAATTGCTTCTTGACTTCTTGCTTCTTGCCTCTTGCCCCTTGCTGTTTGTAATAACTTCTTGCCACTTGCTGCTGGTAATCTGAACCGACAAGAAACTAGCTCAAGAAAGCATCCCCCACGCATAAGAAAGTGGGCTGCCACTGCCTAACGTTGCTTTCTGGAAACAAAGAAACAAGCAAGCTTCGAAACGCCAAATCCCCATGCTCCTGACGGAAAGGCGGCCCAGGCCGATGCTCCACGTCTAAGAAAGGGGGCTGCCACTGCCTAAGGTTGCATGCGGAACGCAAAGAAAGCAAGCTTCGCAACGCCAAATCCCCATGCTCCTGAAGGAAGAGGCGGCCCAGGCCGATGAAGCTGCTACTGCCTAATGTCGCTTTCTGAACCGACAAGAAGCTAGCATCTCCCATG